TAAGTGAGTAATTTGTAAGTGCTGTATAGTAATAATCTTGATAATAATGCTCAAGTTTCATGCGAATATAATAAAAACACCACTGGTCGTTTTCTATTTAAAAATGCAAATGACGATCGTTTAATTGCTGTTATTGCCACATTTAATATTCTTCAAGCACTTTCGAGATATTTTGTTGGAAGCTATGTAGGTGGAATTGGTGTCTTGGGATCATTTTGTCTGGAACTATGTATACGATTGTATTGAGTGTTGTTAGTTGTCATTTAAAAACCTAAAGTCGCTTTATTATTTTACCCAAATTCATTTCTAGAAGTTCAGACTATAAATGAATTGCCACATTCAATAGAAACACTAGAACATTCATAGTTGTTCTGCATTCAAAATTAATAACGTGTAGAAACGTCATAATTCAGAACAACAACATTTTCCTAGGGGCTGTTCACTTATTACGTAACGCGAAAAAATGACTTCTTAGACCCCCCCCCCCCTCGTAACAAAATTTGTATGAAAAAAAAATTTCCTTGTTTGAACCGTAACAAAATTTTAGACCCCCCTCCCCCTAAAAGCGTTACGTAATAAGTGAATGGCCCCCTACATAAAATACAAAAGACAGACACAGAACGAAAAAAAAGGTTCAATTGTATGAAGTTTGAAGGGCGAATGTCATCAAAGAAGACACAATAAAAAGTCATGAGAGAAAAAAGGCTGTTCAATAATCATAAAAAGCTCTAGAGTTATAAAAAAAGCTCACAAGAGAGAGCTTATGCTTTTGAGGACGCTTACAGATGCTTATATGTTCAAGTGATAATCTTTTAAATATGAAAAAAAATAAAACTTTTTTTCTTTACTTCCGAAAATTTTTTATGACTATTTTTTCTACTCTCTTGACTTCGAATTGGGGGATGTGACTTTTTTGGCTTAGAAAATTAATTCGCTGATATGGAATAAACAAGTTTAGCTGGTCGAATGAATTGCTGACGATAAAAGTTGAACAAATCCATTTAACAAAGTTTTTCAATTAAATTTAAAAAAAAAGTTTGTTTGTCAACAAATTTTGGAAGCCACAAATGAGGAAAAGAAGGAACAAACAAATTCTATGTAGAATGGATGTAATCCTACACATGAAAGTAAGAAGGAAAATTTACATAAATGAAATTTTCTTACAGAACGACTTTTCATGCTCATATTACACATTAGAGGATTTGCAAGGCTACGAATGAATGCATGTACTATGGCGACGAAAACCAAATGTTGGAAAATGAAGACAAAAAAAATTGGAATTAATTTTATCTTGCTCATCCTTCTTCTTTTTTCCATTTCATTGGCAAAAAAAAGCTTCGCTGCAGACACAAAAAAAAAATCCTCATTTAATTTTCATTACACAATTCTAGAATGGCTCTGATACTGTTCTCCTAATTAGGGGTTCCAGAATTCCCGTTCCCGTAAGATTTCGGGAATCGGGAACGGGAACGGGAATGATGTCCGGGAACGGGAATATTCCCGGGAATCAACAAAGAAAAAAAAAATTAAAAGCTACGCTTACATCATGTATTTTATTTAAGTTTTTAAATCAAATTTGAATTCTATTTGATTTGATTGTCAAATTGATTCTTTTGACAATAATTTCCGTTTAAAATTCAATTCTTTTTGGTTTTAGAACAATTCTTAAATACGATTTTAAAAACCTGATTGCATTAACGTGCTGGTCTAGCAATCTATAACTGTAAAATGCTTCCAAACCCAAGACATCCTAATTTATTGACTTCTGATAATCTACGAATATGTACTTGATTAAATTACAACTTATGAACTGATTTTTTGATTACTTACATATTCAATATTAATTTCAAGCACATTTTTTATTTTGGAAAAATTACTTTAATCCAATTTCAATTAAGTTTATTATTTGGTGGACATCATACATTTAAAAAAATATTTTTAAATACTTTCATATTCACACAAAATTTTCAATTTTTTCTCTTTGTTTTTCATAAATATATGTTTTTGATTTAAAAAACATCAAATTTGAGTTTAATATTTCAACTCTTAAATTCCTTAACGTATGTTTTCATTATTATTATAATTTTTTTCTTTAAATTGTAGTTTTTTCATGAAAGATACAACATAAAAAAAATCTAATTTGAATTGTCGGTTTTTTGGTATGAAAACGGGAATTTCGGGAATATTCCCGACAGATTTTCGGGAAACGGGAACGGGAACGGGATTCCCGTTCCCGGGAATTCCCGGGAATATTCCCGATTTTAGAACCCCTACTCCTAATGCTATGTACATATGTACAATTTCAAGAATAATCTAGATGAAGCTATAAAATTGATGAAACTTGTTCAATTCCCATACTTGATATGCCTTGTAGTTACAACCGTTATATTGGAGAAAAATTTAAATTAAATTCCGCTATGGAAAAGTTTTGGAAGCTCAATTTGGTTGTAAAAGGAAAGAAATGGCTTTGTGTGTTCGATTGATAGTCATTTACAGGCTGGAGATCTCATTATTTAAAGCTATTTGTCCATGAAAATGCAGCTTTATCCTCAATAGCACAAGTTGGATAATCAGGACAAAATCTTTCGCCAGCATGATATCAAGGCAACTTCAGTCCTGGCCTCAAGTCGTCCCCGTGTTATCCTAGTGTAGGATTTCATCTCGATTATCCGACTTGTGCTATTCAGGTATTGCATCTATAACAGAAGCTACTAGTGATAAGCATATCTTGAAAATTTTATTACATAATAAATACCAAAAGCACAGAGTAGGATTCGAACCAGATTCTCGCTAGTTTCGCAAGCAATGTTACAAAGTAGCCTGAAAAAGTTGTGAAAATCTTGATCAAGTTCAATCGACGAAGTTATGTGAAGTTGGATTTTCTTTTGTATGTTCACGAAGCTATTGCTTGTTCCTAAAATTAACTAATGTTAAAACAACTAGAACTTTGATATCTCTTATTGTAAGAATCAATAAAAACTGCGTCTAATTCCTACAAACTCAACATCACTTGATCAACCTTCTTCCTCATCTCGTTATTCATTTTACATCTGAACAGGAAGCACTCGCTTTGTACTTTGTACTAAGAAAATAAGGAAAGCGAAAGACATTTTGAAGGAAGGAAGAAGAAGAACAAGATAGGAAAACTTTGCAACATGAAGTGCTTTTTATATCAAGCAGATGAAAAACAAGCAATCACGGCAAATGGGTAAACTATGAACCTCTTCTGAATTTTATATCTTTGTAGTTCCTCAATACACATGTGTGTGTAAAGTAGAGGAGTTACATAATTGGAGCATAAAAGTCATAAACTTTGCATACATTTTATCAAGTTTCATTGGAATTCATTATTACTTTTATGATGAATAAAAAAGCAATTTTTCTTTATTATGCTCAGTTTTCCATCAACAATTCTTTACCCGTTTTATTCCATCATGCCATACATTTTCTTATGGAAATAAGTGTGTAACAGACGCTCTCAACAATCAGCATAGAAACGCAATTGGTACATTTATAGAAATAAATTTCTCTCTTACTGGGGTTGGTCTTAAATGATGGCCATGATTGAGGATGAGCTTGAAATTGAAATAACTTTAATATGAGCTCGGCAATTGTGTATCACTCTATAGCAGTTACCAGATGAGCATTTTCCAATATACATCACTTTTAAACGACTCAAATAATTTAAAATTGAAAATTGAAAAACTTTATCATTTGTAGCTGGAAAATTTCCCATTGAATAATTGTAATGGAAAATTTACTGTTATTGTAATTTTATTCAAATCCTTCCGATTGACTTTTTTCCTCTCTCTCACTCGTTACAAATCCGACTCAATTGATTTTTTTGTTCAGATTTATTCATAAATTATTTACAATGATAAATTGAACTTTAAATTTTACAAAGTGTAGGAGGAGATGGTTGGGAAAATTGGAAAACTTTTTGATGATACTGAGTGTTGAGTTTGGGGTTTTTCTGGTTATCAGAATTTAATGAGAACATGAAAAATGTTTAATGAGCACTTGAGTAAATAATTGTGGGGCAATGAAATTTTTGTATTTCATGGACTAATCAAAGTGCTGTTTTATCTGTAAGTGGCATTGGTTGACATTAAAAGATAAAATCTAACCTCAAAAGTTCCTAAGTTTGTCATAACATTGCAAAAAGTGCTTGTAAAAAAGCATGAAGTTCAGCAGGATTAGCATGAGATTACTATAAGAGTTAGACAGAAGTGGAAGACATAAAAGGCATGACATTGCAATTAAACTAGTGATTGAACTTTAAGTTTCTTAAATAAATAATTATTATCACTACAAAAACGTAGTTCGAATCCCTTAAGATCTTTGATTGAATTTCATTATTCAAGAAGTCCTATTACGATTATTAATTACTAAATATACCCTTTTGAGAAGTAGCTATCATCCAAACCATTACTACGTCACAAAATTGATAAGATTACTTCCAAAGATTCACCTTCTTCTCAAATTACCTAATTAACCGCTCAATTTTCAAAAGATTTTTCCCTTTCATCACAAAACTTTTTCTTATTCCTAACTCTCAAGTTTCCGAACAATCTTAATGAATAGAAAATGTTTCCCTTTGATCAACACAAGAGCCCATTAGCTAAGAATCTAAACTTCAAACGTTCACAGCAAATTTAATCAATTATGGAAATTGAAGCTTGAGGAGCACTTTAGTCGATCGATTTAATGCCTTGCCATCAAAAGCCATAAAGTTATGAATAACCCTTTTAGAACGAGGAAGACTGAGTCTCAAATGTCCCATTAAACTGATGATTTATACCGATATGGGGAAAATCAAAAATTACATGACAATAATACATTTTTACGCCTATTGACATCCTTTTAAATAAGTAGTGGATCATTAAACTTCATTGCATATGAAGGTACGAAATACATTAGATTTTATATAAACTTTTCTTTTTGTTCCATTCACTTATTGACAGGTACTGAGTTATTTATGAGCTCTTAATATTAATGCTTTACAATAAATGACTTACCTTCTTTTCTTCTTCTTTTGCTGATGCCATTAAATGAGATTCGATTGCTTCCAAGTCAATGACAGGTAACGCTGTTTCGATATTGTAAACATCGAAAGCGTCTATGGAGCAAAAAGGAGAAGGAAATGAAAGATCAAAATTAATTACTTGACAAGATATCTATGGTAAAGAAGAGTTGGAGCTTGTTTTCGTGATAAGAATCCATTTATCTTTTTCGATGGCAATTAATTAAGTTTATTTTGCAATTTTTCTTTCATTTATTTACACGAGCAACAGTAATGTTCCTGTGGGGTATTCATTTGTGTTTTGTACAGTAAATTAAGGTTATTATTGCTGCATTGTGGTATTGAATGGAAGTTTAAGTGACTGTTTTGTTTTAGCGTGAACTTTTTGGATGTTTTATTGAATTTTTTGCCATTTTTTTGGTTTAAGGTTATGTATGACTTTACTTTATGAATTCTTAACCTCCCAACCTATTCTTTACAATTAGGTTAGCAAAATTACAAAGATCTTCAACATAGGATTCAAACTCATAGTTTCAAACTAGAAGCAAAGATGGACCCAGCCAATAGAACCCTCTAAGCTTAATCTTCTATATTATACTCAATAACTGAGTTTAGACTCACGAAACTGTCAATTAGCTTTATCAATTTTGAGCATGTTTGACTAACCAGACAGAACATTAATCAATAAATCCGAAATCATCGTTAATTATTCACTACAATCTCGAGACAGCAACCCATAATTACCCATAGAATTAAAATACCACACTTGTCACACCTACATTATGGCAGCTATAAACTACTTTGTATAAGCAACTTCAATTTGTCAATTTCACTAGACGACATTTTATTCCATTCATTAAAAGAAATATCCACAATATGAAATTCTTGCTCATATAAAAAATGATTAATGATGTCATAATCATTAAAATATTCTAACTCAATGAACTCATCATTGCGATACTAAGCGACGATATTATAAAAAGTAATTGCAAAAATTTTCTTTGTAAATAATTTTTTATTTTTGTGTTGAATTATTTTATTCTGCTTTGTTATTTCATTTTTAACGAGTTATGGATTATTGCTTTTGGGAAGAAATATGAAAGAAAAATGAGATTCTTAGTCCTTTAGAGACTCTTAAAGTGAAATAATGATTTCTTTATTGTGGAATAAAACGAATTTGTAAGAACTTCCGAGTGACATGTCACATGTGACAGTTAAGACTTAAAGACAAATTCGAGAAATAATTTTTAAAATATTTGAAATGTTTTTTTTTTCATATTCACACAAATTTTTTTTATTTCAAAATTAAATGAAAGAAAACGTTCAAGGTTTTTCAAAGTTTTGAATTTAAAGTTTTTTAAAATTTTGAATCTTAAGTTTTTAAAAACTAAGAATTTTATGTTTTTTTAAAATTTTGAATTTTATTTTTTTTAAAAATTTGAATTTTAAATTCTTTAAAATTTTAAATTTTAAGCTTTTTAAAATTTTGAGCATTAAGTTTTTTAAAATTTTGAACTTTATGTGTTTTCTTTCATTTTAATTATTTTTTTGAATTTTTAATTTAAACATCATGTTCTAATTTTAAAGTCGAAAACTTAAGTTTTTAATTTTCCAGAAAAATATAAATTTTAGTTGTATTTGAAAAAAAATAAGAAAAAAAAATTTTTAAGGTTAAAAAATCAATAAAAAAAATTCCTAGTTAAACTTAGTAATAACTTCACAATTCACCCCTAAGTAGTATTTACCCCATCCACACGAACCTTAATTTTCAAATAACAAAGTTTGTGTTGATCACAATTAACAGTCATTAACGAACATTGATGTTTCATTATTTCACCATAAAAATTAACAGCTCAGCACTACCAACTTTTTACCATAAAAATAAAAATATCCATTTCGGTTCTTTATTTATTTACATACCTGAAATATCCTTTCGATTTTTCATTGGCACCTTTTTATCGTCATTACCGTCTTTCACGAATATTTTCTCACGCTCGGAATACTTTCGATTACCGACATTTAAATTATTATTATCTTTAACGTCACACTCACTCATGCTAAATTTCGGTGCGATTTCATTAGCTGTATTCATTTTACTGCTATTACGATTTTTAAATTCAGCCTTCTGGCTCATCGCGATATTTTTAGAACTATCAATTTGTTTCTCAATTTTTTTCGTATCGACCGTAACGTTTGTATCAATAACTTTTTTGATTGGCTGTACAATGGCAACACTATTTTGCATTTGCATGACACTACAATCAATGTCTTTCTCGCCAACACGATGGATTGAATTGATTGCTTCCTTATCGGTCACGTCATAATCGAAACATGGCTCACTATTATGCATTTTATTTACCATTTTACGAGTTTGCCTAGCAAATGTTTTTGGATTCTTTGGTAAATGCTTTTGAATTTTACGTGGTGTGGTTGTGATTGTGGTTGATTGATGTGCTGTATTATTCCACAATTCTGTCTCGGTTGCACCACGAATAGGCAATTGTCGCTCGTCAAACGATAACTTTTGATATTTTGGCTTTACAATTGCAGTTGGAATTAGTCCATTATCCACTGACTCACATTTTATTAATGATGTATTCACTTGACTCACTTTCGACTCATTCAGATGATCGGATTTTTTAAATACGATTTTCTCCTCGATTTTTGATAGTGTAGCATCGCCCATCTGGATTTTTAATGAATCATAAAAAAACAAACGAATGAGTATCCGAGTTTATCAATAGAATAAATAAAGTTTCCAGAACCGCCACATATGTATTTTTAATTAAAATTTTACAAATGCATGCACACATGAGAAGAAACAAAAGAAAAACATCGAAATGGCCATAATACTTTTCATTGTATCGTTATGGCCAGTATGGCAATTGAGAGAGCTATTTAAAATCTACATACATTAGTGCTATAAACATTTTAAAAAATTATAACATACACAGCCACACACATACAGGGAATGTATGACATGGAAATTTTCTACGAGGGTCTGTTCATCAATGATGGTCGTAATTGTGTTCTATCCTAGATAAGGTTTATATGACGATGTAGGACATTAGGAACGAATATCAACATGCTACATTTTGGAGTAGAAATAAAAGTCTAACCGTGACCACAGAGTTTGATTAGATACAAGTGAGAGCAGCACGAAGCAAGTTCATTATTGATCCCATTGCATTAGTGTCTTTCGAATCATTCCTCAAATTTCTTATAAACCAGATCGCCAAAGATTCAACTAAAGTAGTTATTAATAGTGCGACATACTTAATGACGACAATAGGATTCTCTCTTTTTGGAACAAGACTTAGTCATTTAACTGATCTTATGAAAGAGGGTTTTCTTTAAATCAGTGTTGTTCAAAACTTTTTTGAGCCAAAGCACATCCGAGCAATAAAACATGACCAAAGGCAGACACAACATGCGGCTCACGTCATTTTCAAAAAATTTCGACAGCAAAAAAGTGTGCCCCAGCACACATATTGAACAACACTGCTTTAAATAATTGGCATCATAACTGAACGACCCCCAAATTGTTGCCTGCTCTCTCTAAATAATTGAAGATTCCCAAAATGAATAAAAGAAAACATACTCAAAGCGTGTTGTATTTAATGAATAATAAGAAAGAATACAAATATCGAGAGAATGTCTGGCAATAAATACAATTGTTCCTAAAATTGTAATACGAACAGAAAATTTTGTTGTAGATATTCGATATGTGAATGGAAAGAAAAAAGAGAAAATGAGCATAATAATATATTAATGTTGATGTGAAAATGAGATGAATGGAAATTGTTTGTTTATTCTTTCCAAAAGCCACATGTCTATTTCTTTTGATATGAGATCTCGTTGAGAATATGCGATGTGATTATATATTAACTAGCAGTTTTCGGATGTTTACTGCTGAGTTTTTTTTTTTAAGTTTTGATGATTGAATGTTTTTCATTCTTGATTCTGGATGATTATTAATGTTGGGTATTAATGATGCTGTTTGAGTTGAATGTAAAAATTGATTCTATTACTCATACATGAAGCTGACATGCTGATCTTTAAATTCTAATCCTATTACGTAATAAAATGAAAGGATTAAAGCTCTTAATTATTGTTTCTTATATAAATAAAAAAAAATAAAAAAAAAAAAAAAAAATATCCAACAAGATTCAACATATCCTTAAAGATAATACTGAGAATTAGACAGCATAGTTTAATTAGAATTTTTGTATAATCTTGTGTCAAACAAATCCATATCGTGTCGATCAAGAATTTTGGCCTTTAATACACCAAATATCATTCATACTTCCAACTCCAAATCGACATATGTAGGGGTTCCAGAATTCCCGTTCCCGTAAGATCTCGGGAATCGGGAACGGGAACGGGAATGATGTCCGGGAACGGGAATATTCCCGGGAATCCACAAAGAAAAAAAAAAGTTAAAAGCTACAGTTACACCATGTATTTTATTTAGGTTTTTAAATCAAATTTAAATTCTATTTGATTTGATTGTCAAATTGATTCTTTTGACAATAATTTCCGTTTAAAATTCAATTCTTTTTGGTTTTAGAACAATTCTTAAAGTACGATTTTAAAAAACTGATTGCATTAACGTGCTGGTCTACGAATCTACGAATATATTAATTTCAAGCACGTTTTTTTTATTTTGGAAAAATTACTTTAATCCAATGTCAATTAAGTTTATTATTTTGTGGACATCATACATTTCAAAAAATATTTTTAAATACTTTTTCTCTTCGTTTTTCATAAATATATGTTTTTGATTTAAAAAACATCAAATTTGAGTTTAATATTTCAACTCTTAAATTCCTTAACGTATGCTTTCATTATTATATTTTTTTCTTTAAATTGTAGTTTTTTTCATGGAACATACAAAATATAAAAAAAAATCTAATTTGAATTGTCGGTTTTTTTGGTATGAAAGCGGGAATTTCGGGAATATTCCCGACAGATTTTCGGGAAACGGGAACGGGAACGGGATTCCCGTTCCCGGGAATTCCCGGGAATATTCCCGATTTTAGAACCCCTAGACATATGTGATGAGAAAAGTTAATTTCCACATACATTAGCTAACATTTCCTCTTTTCTTCACATCAACCAGCCAACTAATGTGCCCCATAATTATTCGTCATTAGCTAATTAATTAATTAGTTTCTGTCATAATTAATAATTTAAATGAGTATTACTATTGCCTAAGCCGTACATTGATAATGAGCAGTCATTTGCATATTGTAGATAAATCAAATTTAGAGAATTTTTATGCCTTTAAAAAGGAACCCAGCACGAGTACAATAAATTTTCATTATGTTTTCCGAATTGCTTCATCATCTTCTAATGTTCAACTAATGAGATAAAACATTCTCAGTTTCTATTGTCTATGCTTAATGTCTGTATGTTCTTTTACAATATGAAAATGAGAAGTTGATAGCAGAGTTGTTGTTTTGGTGTCTTGGAATGACAAGTTTCTGGACTTTCTCTTAATTGTGCCTGAAACGATGAAGTCAACAAATGGATTGGCAAACAGGATCAAGTGATAAGTCTGGTAGAATAACAGTTGTATTAACATTAACAAGTTGAATATATTAAATTCCTCAAGCAAACACCAAAAATCCCAAATCTGCATAAAGGCTCGAAGTAGAATTAATATCCATTCCTCTATCATGTATGAAGGGATTTGCGAAACGAAAAAAAAAAGTCCGATGTACTATTAAGAGCAGAAACATGCATGAATGTTAAATGAAGCCAATTTATCTTTTAAACAGTCATCAACGGCAGGCATGTAGCAGTAGAGAAAATGGACAATAGACTGAGAATGTAAAAAAAGTCGATTAACTGCTGAAATGAATCCCCTCGTACAGCATGATAAATTGATTTTAACTTTAATTGTCATTGCCTTCATGTCGTTGGATATTTAAAAACTTTCATATCCACGTTGAAAACTATAAATGTTTTATGGACGGTGACCTCAAGCTCCTGAATGCCATATCCAACCATCCATTCAGCAACTCTCTATCAAGCCATGGCTTTCATTTGTTGAGTTTATGAATGGCGGATGAAAAATGTGTGAAAGATAAAGGCACTGAATGAGAGAAGAATGTGACAAAATAATGAGATAATAAATTTTTTGATTTATTATTTTCGCCATTGTTTGCAATTTTTTTTTCTAGCCATGCCACCCATATCATCTTCTTTTCCTTTTTATTTTGCATTAAGTATTGCCATCTTCTTCATCGTACCTTTTGTTGTTGTTGTTGTTTGTTGATTTGAACTGTACGACTTTACCTTTCCATAAAATAGCTTAAACCAACGGCTTATGGTGAGACACATCGACGTTGATAAAAATGCCAGATGGGGCGAGAAGAGGAAAAAATACTTCCTATTGTCATTTTTTTGTAGCACAGATAAAAATAAAGTTTTATTTTATGCGATTAATGAAGCTTTCAGGATGAACGAAATTTCGTTGTACAAAAATTTGCTTAAATGCAGGGACAGAAAGTTGAAGCTTTTTGGCAATGTGGAAATATTACAACTGGTGTTTTTGGTCATTATCATTTTTAGGAGGGGTTCAATAGAGAAATTTGTAAGACATGGCTTAGTAGTGGATTTTCGTAGTTATGGAGCTAAAGGAATATGAAAAATAGTGCTGGATCTTTTAAAAAAAAGGATGGAATATCTTTAATGTTAAAAATGGGTAGAAATTGCAGCTTTAAAGTCAGTCAGAGAGTCTTCAATTTTTAAAGTATCTAGAGCAGATATTTGGTTCTATTTTAGAGAAGTTTGATGATTCAGAGCAGCAGCTTCTCATCACTTTGAACCCCTTTGCTGCTCGGGAGGAGAATAAAGACTTGACTCTTCCTTAGCAACAACTGCAAATCAAGAGCAATCCCATTTTGTCCAAAAATTTCTAATAGCTCGACAATTCAAGTCAAATAAAAATCAAGAATTATGGACATCTGAGTCGTAAATGGCAATGGACTCACACTATTAACGTCAATCAACGAAGGCAGCTGTGCATGCTTTCTTTCTAACAATAATACAGTCCACAAATAAAATACAATTCCAATTGTCAACAGTGTTGATAACTTTATCGTTACGAATGAACAGTTCCATTTTATTGTGCTTTTTACAGTTCTCAAAAATGAGAGCACTGACAGCGCTTAGTTCTTGCATGAAAATTTATGCTTTGCGGTAAAAATTGAAGCTCATAAATTTAATTTTCTGCATCGTGAGTTTCCACTTCTTCCCACACATAAGTCAACCTTTTCATAAAATTAATAATGGATCTGCAAAACTTCAACCCAAATGATTATTTTCCATATCCTTGATGACTTTGACATAAACAATTCACAAAGACTCTTTTGTTCCTTCATCCTTCACAGAAGTGAAAGAAAAAAATTGTGGCTCATAATTTTCCCACACAAAAAAAAAGCACAATGTCGACATATTGACAGACACAGACATCATTAAAAGAACATTATCGCATGCATATAGGCAATGTAGGCGGAGAGAAAAAAATTCAGAGATATGAGGGAAAAGGATAAATAATAAGAATCTTGTGGTAATAAAAAAAAATAATGACGATTATAAATGAAAGCATGCAAGCTGGAGATATGAAGGCATATTAGTCAAATTTTTTGTTTCCATAACTTAAGATAATAATCATGTTAATAATATTATTATGAGAGTGGTTTATTGAGGTATGTGAGCTATAAAGATGTCTTAATTTGATTGGTGAAGCTGAAGGAAGCTTTGAATGTCGATTGATAGGTTTTAAGCTAGGCTAGTTACTGAACTATTCAGGAGATGTACTCTAGTCACGATCAAATATTGTTTAAATTACAATTTGGATTTTTTCTCAATTGTAGTGTAGGGAGTCTTAGGTTGCCCTTAAAAATAGGTCCCAGACATCAAACTCTAATTTGAAGTTACGTTAGTATGTAGCGACGTGTTAAGCAATATTGGACGACGTTTAGTCCTGTTTTTTGTGCCACTGCACACCTTGAGTGTAAGCTTTATCAGAATCTGCATTTCGTGGGTGCCGCTGCACACAAGTTGGCCAGAACTGCTCTAGTCGTTAAGTTAGCAACTGGCCAGCATCCATTTAAGTCACAAAAAAGTGAACATTCCTTAATAAAAATAATAATAATACTGTCCCAAAAAATAACCGACCACAAACCCCTTAAAAAACAATCATAATAATCAAAATAATACTCAAGAAAATGTGGCAGCAAAACGGTTCCGGAAAACTTTTTTTTTGTGGGCGAAAAAAGTATGACTGCATAAAAAAGTAGCAGCATTTCTTACCTTACTAAAATATTTAAGATGCTCGAAAAATTTATTCTCGTCCAACACTAGCTCATTCATCTCACTTGATAATGTTTGTTGTTTCCTCGGTTTCATAGGACGGACATGTTCACAAGTTGTTGGTGATGTAGTTGTTGATGCTGTGGGTGATGAGTCATTTGTTGCATTTAAATAACCGGATACAATTAGACCAATTTCTTTTTCAACTTCCTTCCCAAAATCACCAATGATGTCAACTGTTGATGATGCACTATCAAATGATAGTTTTGTCGTTCCATTTGCTGTTGCAAATTCCATTTGTCCTACTTCAGTCTGAACTTGATTAATTATTTTTTCATCATTATCATTTATCTTGTTCACATTGTTGGGAATTTCATGCTCAGTAGGAGATAAAATTTCATTATCACTCTCATCATCATGATCAGCATGTCGGAATGCCGTGTTTTCAATTCGTCCATGATTATTGTCGTTGGAACTAATTGTATCTTTTATGTTTTTAATTAAATCCGGCTGGAAATTGTGAGTTTCATTCTGCGATGTATCGTCTGCACATTGTTTCTCATCCTCATTACAAGCACTTCCTTCCCGTGATTTAATCTCCTCCTCTTTTGTGTCATTTTGAAGTTTCTTGTTGCTACTATTGTTACTGCTATTATGTTCAATTAAAATATCAGGCGTTGGCAGTTTATTGTTATCTTCATCCGTAAGACATTCATCCTCATTTGATTCCATCATGTCAAGCTGATAAGATTTCTGTAAATCCATTTTATAATCATATTGTTGAAGATACGTTGCCAAATCACAATTTATATTCTCATTGAAGTCATTGTTATCAGACCTATCGATTCTCTCGAGTTCATTCTTTATTGCTGCATCGTCTTCGCCACTCAAGTCGGCCATATCATCCTCATCGAACTCCATTTGTTGTGGCTCGATATTTTTTTTCGACATTTGCTGGATGTTTGATGATAAATTGCAACATTCTTCATCTTCATCATCTGACGTAAATCTTTCATAGTCGGAATTACGGTCAATATTATCGTCTTCATGTAAGCCCAACTGTTTACTCTCACAAAAGACCTTTGGTTCGGATTTCATCAATAAATTGACATTACCGTCCTCATACTCTTTCACTTTCATCTCCTTCATGTCAAAGTCATTAACAATGTGTTCGTGTGTCGAGAAGCTGCTACGTCTATTTTTATTCTGATTTAAATCTGTTGCTACTCTCTCGTCTGCCTCAATGGCAGTGCCATTATTATTATTGTTATTATCATTCATAATATTTACATCAATTAGACTTCCTCTTCGATAAGTTACATCAAAGTCAACGTCGTCGGATATTTCGCTATCTGAGATATTATCGAAATTATGATCTATGAAATGTTCAGCAAGTGTATGTGCTAAATGTTGAAAGCCAGGATAATTTGGATTTATTATGCCACGTGGATATCTTGTAAGTACTTCTTGTAAATCTCGAGGGTCAGGTGAGCTCAAGTCAGCCAAAGACGATGGTGTGGGAGATACAAGATCTGTGAAATAGACACAAAAAGAAAGAATGTGAAAATAAATTTTCAGATAAATGTGTTAAGTCAATATATATTCTTTTCTGTAACATGGAAAATTGACAGATTTATTACTTTAACCCGCTCTCATACTCTTTTCGAAATTGTGAATTGCTATTTTTTCGTATGCTTGGCTCTCTCATAAATGGAAAAATAAACATTGACCAGTTGATATTGAATGAAAATTTATTGGATACAAATATTTATATTCATTGCTGTAGAGGATACATTTAATGGATTGGGAATGGAATTAAGGAAGTGCTTGCATCGTTCAGTAAATGAGAATTTGTTGTTTTGGACATTTTATGGCTATTTTGTTCAGAAAAAGTCGTTAAAAAAACCTTTTTGAAACTCGAATTATTGAGATCAACTTCTTTGAAATTTTAAAAAGGTCGTTTGTAATTTTAATATTTTTTAACGTTATTCTGATTTTAATTTTATGTTGTAAAAATTCAAATATTTTGTGACCGTTGCTAACCAAATTAGTCTATAACCTCAAAAATCTCCTTCAACAAGCTTCAAAACAGCAAAATCCCCTCTATATAATGTGTGAAGGGCCCAGCCTTTCAGCTGGAGGCACTGCGATTCAAATTAGAACAGAACTGCGATTCAAATTAGAACAGAAACTGCGATTCAAATTAGAACCTCAAAATCCCAGCAATTCGATTGAACAACACTCCCGCAAATCCAATAAAATATCGAGAAAAAATCCTAATAACCTCAAAATCCCATTTCATTTGCCTCATTAACTCTCACACTAAAGCATCATATTTATGATCATCAATAATTTTTTTACAAGCATATCAGTGTTTCATAATTATGAAAAACCAAGTATAATAAAGTCGAACATAAAGCTAGAATGAAATACTGCTTTAATGATATTAAGTTTTACAACCTATGAGCACTCAACGTCATAAAATAGCAGCTAACCAGCCAATCCACATAAATTTTTATCCGCTTTCATGATAAATCATCTGTGTGTGCGAAAACAATAAAGAATTATGAGAATTGTGTGCCTTTCAATCACTGATGCTTTATTTTGTGTGTTAATCAATAATTGAAAAGTTTTTGACTGCTTCATTCTGAATGTTTTAATAATTTTTTCATGTCTAGTCACCCCAAAACATTTTGCTAATCCCGTCTAAGATGGAATTTTTATCTTCACCAGGAAGAATAAGTCGCATTTATTTTTATTAGTGGAATTTCATCTCTTTCTTCTCCTTATTTTCTCCATTTATTATCATTCGATATTATTATTTATATATCTAGAGTCATATTGATTCATCTTCCCAATTTCACGTTGTTTATAAAAATGGAAGCTTTTACGAGTTGTTATTTTTCCTCGACAGGACGAGTACGAAAGTAAATTAAAGAATTTTTGATAACATTCTTCATTTTTCATGGCTGGAAGTTCCGTGAAATGTTTCTATGCGAGAGATTTGGATGTGTTGAGGTAGTGCAAGGAGGATTTATTGGGAATTCTTCTTAAAAATTGAGTTATTCTAGTTAATTAACATCTGGAGTTTTTTTGATATAAAAATCCAATCCAAAACTACAAATAATAACGTCCAACTGGATAAAACCTTTAAATTAAGATTGAATCATGGTTTGATCATTTCCGCACCATTGCACCGAATTTTGAGCTTTGTAGATTATAAACCACTAATAGGATTCAAACCCACGACATCATAAAATAGGGAACAGATATCCAGCATGTTCCTTAACTACTCGGTCATTGAGGCCTTAATTTCGCAATGACATATTACCTTATTTATGTCTCGATACCATAGATTCAACTATGTTTCGACACCACAACGAGATTAGTGCACCGCAACTTAATTTTAAGAACCACTACCAACGCCATCCTTTGAAATGAAACCCCCATTAAATCGGCTACACCCCTATTTAGTATCTAAAACAAACAGTTCCAATGGTTTATTGAAGTTAAATACAGACATTCTTGAAATTGAGGAAGTTTGTGCCTTTAAAAATGCTTTTAGGACAGTAAAAAAATATTTTCATTCTGAAACATCTTAAAAGATAGACAGAAGTGTAAATTATGGTAAAGAGATGAAGTTCATGACTGCCTCTCTCTTTTTTTTCCATGAGTCATCTCAAAAAGAAGCATCTTCTTGTTCCTCCCCTACCCTACTTTTATATATTGCACAATTCCATTTGCCTTCGTTTCCTTCATGTTAAATATTCAAGACACATTTCAAAAATTGCCTTAAGGCCTCGATACGCTTCCATGCTTGAGACAATAACTATGGCGACAGCAGAGTATGGAGAAGAAGAAGGCGAAAGCACATGAAGCAGCAGAAAACATATTTTTATGGGACTTTCTTATTCTACTGAATGGAATGCTTCATGATGGCTTTATATGTCGCCTATATACATACTTAATATGAAAGATTCCAGACCAACAGAAAAGAAACTTTAAACAACGCGCGGTTGAATGTTAAATGCTGCTAAGCCATATGTGAATATATCATAATATATATATATATATATATATATATAAGGAAATGCAACATATGCTTGAATCGTCAAACATGATGGATAATGTAGCACTTTTCCTTCCTTCCTTCCTTGCAACTTTTTCTGCTTGACTTTTTCTTTTTATTTTAGCGTAATTTTTGCAGAACAAATTGAATTTTTTTGTGTTTTCTTTTATTGGATGAGTAGCTTGAGATTGTGGTTGGGGTAGGTTTATTGGATATTTTTGGTGTCTTTTCTTATTTTTTAGAGGGCATTGTCTTTGAAATTTGTTGAATATTCATGTTTAATGTGGTTTTTCTTTAGCTTTTCAAAAATATTGAATTTTGCACGTTTGCTGGTGATTCTTAAAGAATTTTGATGTAAAAATTATACACTGATGCACAACCTCGAGTGCATGCTGCTACAAGACTCATTTTTTCGTCAAAACAGCTTGAAAACAGCACTGTTTAAAAATCTCCATATTGTTTTGATGTCATAGAAATGTTGTTATCCTAGTTAATATGTTGAGTTGACTGACTAAGCCTCATTTTATCTGCTGCTAATTTGAGATCTGTTGCAAGAGTAACTCGTAAATCCCGAACCTAGTCACAGTCAACTTTAGCTTATAATTCAAGGTATGAGGCATGATTTTTCAATTGTAGAGTTGAATGACCAAAGTAGCTTTATAAATCATCCCTAGACACTAAGAGCTAACGAGGTAGGCTGCATAAGCTTGACTGAATCAGTCTGAACATCTTAGATCTATAACCAAACTTCAAGCTAGTCTATAAAATGCTTCTAATGCTTTTAAACGTGATGTTAAACGTAAAACTGCGCCTATAGCATAACTTTGCCTTTAAAAAATCATCCTTACTAAACTCCCACATTCCCTCATCCATTCATTCCGATGAAATTTATTTTCTCATTTTTTTTTCTGCAAGCATCAGTGAAAAAGAACTAAGTATAAAGAGTGAGCAATATTTCGCATCTACCCAATACAGTATAAATGTGCAGCACTTTAAAAAGCATACAGCATCAACTTTATCATACAATACGATACATATAACATGAAATTGAAATCAGTGGAGAAGTAAAGAATCAATAATTTAGTTTATAATAAGAGAGCTGCTGTTGCTGCAAAATTGCTTATGAAAATCTCTCTTTTCCTTTTTAGTTCCGTACAATACAGAAAGAAATAAAATATGAAGGTACTTGTAATATCATGTAAAGATATATAGAATGTAATTTGTATTATTGAAATAAAAAAAGTTTGCTGATAAAGGATAAAAAGGAACTGGAAATTTGTAGGAAAATTAATTTTTTTCTGCCTTTTTTTTGCAATTTTGTTTATGAATATTTTTTTTTTTCTGTAAAGGGCTGGGATGATTTGCTTTTCGACTCAATGAGTTGGGCTTTAGAAAAGCTTTCTCATTCTGAACAAAGTCATTAGTCAAAATGCTGTATGAATGGATAGCAATATTTCAGACTACAAAAGACCATAATACTCAAATTATTAAGAAGAAATACTTTTGGATCTTTAAAACAATGAATGTGCATGGTATCGAGATGTTTAGGAATATATTTTGTGGGTAAGCTTGGCTACAAGCTAAATATAACAGAGATATTGTCGTTTTGATAATCAACGGTTTTCTCAATTTCAAATTTTGCCAAACACAGCTAATTTCAAGCTTAAGAAAAGAAGTTTTTAAAAAGTTCGTTAAAAATAAAATCAACTTGCCATTAACGATTTTCTTAAATTTAAATTTTTTCTTAATGCAGCCAACTTCAAGAAATAGGATTAGAATCTATAAATACGTTATATTTTTAATAAATCAAAATTTTTACATTATTTTACAACATCTCTAAGATCCAATTCGAATTTTCTCTTCCAGCTAAACCGGAGCAGAAACGCATCATCGATTTCATATCCCCATTCTCACATTATTCACTCATTCAACACTCGCTTAAGCTTCCCATATAAACCTTTCACAAAACATTATTTTTATCATAGTGAGAATCATAACAGCTAACATTCATAATAAAGCTCAAATGAATAGCTCATATAATAACTTTCTAGTCAATAAACAAAAATAAAACTCTACACGTGCTACAAATATGATGACGTTCATTTCCTTGCTTTGATCATATTACGATTCAATGGCAAATTAGGTTCGCTTTTTATTTATTATTATCGATTATAATAAATTTCTCTTTTTATATTCATCTACGTCTTTCTTGTTTTAGGTAAGTGCTTTAAAACTGAAATTTTTGTTGTCGTCACGACATTTCGGGGTTGGCATTTTGCGGTGTTTATTTTTGCACCTTGAAATTAATTTATTTTGGTATTTTCTAATCTTTGTGTGCTTGTCTAGATTTTGTGTTAAATAAATATTGGCATTTTGTTGACATTTTGTCTCAGATTATTGTTTACTTTCAAGTAAATAAGAATAAAAGTTCACCAACAAAAGCAAGTGCTTTGACATTAACATTACAATGAAATTTTTCTTTTTAAATGAAATTTGTTCTCATTGAATTTAAAACAGCTGTTGTAAACGATTCAGACAATTTGCATGCTGACTTTTGAATATTAATTTTATGATGGATGACTTGCTATTTTTTTTTAAAAAAATCAAATTATTAACGGATGTTTAAAATTTGAATTTTTAACGGTTGTTAAGAATTTGAATTTTTAAAGGTTGTAAAAAGTTTGAATTTTTAACCGTTTATTGCAATTTGAATTTTTCATGATTGTTAAAAATTTGAATTTTTACCGGCTTTTTAAAATTTAATTTATTTTGATATCTTTAATTTAAAAGAGTGTAATGTCTGCATTAAAATGAAACTCGGAGCAGTAAATGCTTCAAAAACCCTCTCTTTAAATTTCAAGTTGTCTCAACAATAAATTCCCTGAATTTAACGATCTTACCATAAACACACTCATAAAAAAAATTTAACATTTTTCATTGTTATTTCGTTGTAAACCAGATTTAACAATGACATTGTTAAATTTATATGACGAAAAAAAAAGTTAACAATTTCATCGTTAAAATTATTTTTACAATCAATTAACGATAAGATTGTAATGTAACGATAGTGATTGTTAATTTTACAATGGTCATCGTTAATATTAAATTTTAAATAATTTAACTTTACTTTAGTTTTGAATAATCATAATTAAATAAAAATTCAGTATGAAAAGTGAGTTTTATTTCTGTGTACTTAAGAATTATAAAAATTTATAAAAGTTGATTTTTTATTAAAAAATGTTGTACTTGAATTAATATTCGTTAATTAAATTATTTTTCAATACTTTCTATTGATGTTTGACAAAAATTATAATTAAAATCTTATTCATTTTCACTATTTTTAAAATTTACCTTTTCATTTAAATAATTATTTTGTCACTTTCAAATCAGATAAAAAATTAAGAAATGCGATTACGATTAAGCAGGCGACATTGGAAGTTAAGCAACAAAATTTCATTTCCTTTTTGGATGGGTGACCATTTTTTCTTCGAAATTTTTTTTAACTATATGATTGTTAAATTTTACAATTTCATTGTTGACAAAAGTTTTTACAATGGTCATTGTTAAATTTAACAATTTCATGGTCAACGCTATTTTAATCATGACATTGTTAAAATTTTCATACAAAGTAACAATGCATTGTTAATTTTTTTTTATGAGTGCATATCATCCAGTAACAAACTCCAGAGCTTATGCAAATGCGCTACTATCATTTCACATGATCCCACTTATTTACAATTTTATTTTAATTTACACCAATTTACAGTGTCGATAAATAATCGCGTGAAATTTTGTTTATATTCACGCAATGTCATGTCTATGCCCTAATATAATTCTCGCAAATATTTGCCTTAAAGATAAGAAAGAGCATGCTGGAAAAAAGGGGGTCGGATGGAGAGACAAGGAAGCAGAAAAAAGAGATGAGAATAATTTTCATTACTTAATATTATTGCTAACGTGCTCGGGATATCTAATTCTTATGGTTGTGAGAGTTAACATTCTGGCACTTAATTTATAAGCATTTTAGTGTCCCATTTTTAGGCATCATCGTAATTTCGTGTTAAAAATTATGAATTGTATCGTTTGAGGATGAGCCAAAAAATCAGGTTCTTAATTTTTTGGAATCAGATCCAGTAAAAATTGATATTTCAGTGGTGTCATGTCGTGTCTTTAAAATACATATTTAAAGTCATCTAAACGTGACACTATCTTATTTATTGTCTTGTGGCTCAGAGGTCTGAATTGAGCTTTCGGAACGTTATTAATGAGCTTTTGGAGGTGAAAATTGAGCTTTTAAGAATTTTGTTTACAAACATTTAAATCTGAATTTTTTTATATTTCATGAAATTTTCCATCAAATCAAGTGTTTTCTTAGTCACAATATTGATCTTTGTATGCCTTATAGCCTATATCCTATTATAAGGAAGATCCAGCGCTATTAAAGCCAACAAAACCATCAATATGAACAATTTTATAATTTAATTTGATTTCCTGTACTAAAGCCGTTTGTTCTAAATTCAAATTTTGTACTAAAACAATTTCAAACTTGTTTTTCAAGCATCTTTGGTGTTCAGAAATCTGAGTATGTGTGTCACAAGAAGAAGGAGAGAGATAAAGAAATTGTAATGTGATGTGAAAGCAAAGATAACCCCAACGAGCAATCCATAAGAAAGGGTTTTTTTGTTTCACTTCATTTTAAGTTTATACAAATAAATTTTCAAACAAAATCAAGATTTATGTGAATTGAAAAGAAGAAAATGCTTTTGTATTTCTTTATTTTCTCCTTCTTCCACCGAATAAAAATTAGGGGAAAGTTTTATATAACATTTAGAGAATGAAAATTGGATTAGACATTTTTGTTACCACTATTGCACGTGGTATTAAGTGCTGGAAAAATATACTTGAATTATATGTGCTTTTTCTTTGAAGTTTCTAAATGAGATTTGGCAGTTTGTGTGGATGTCTATAAGTTTAGCAATTTTGAGTCATTTTAGAGTTTTAAACAAGTTTTTGTCATTGAAACGAGTTGAATTTAAAGTTTAAGATTCAAATGCTGATCATAACTCAAATTTTAAATCTTGCCGCCATTTTTAAAAATGCGCTTTATCCAATTACTGCTGCATAACTTCCAATTCACAGAAAAGAGATTTAATTACAAATTCAGGACACAAACTCACCTTGATCATCTAATAAACTATCAACAGGACTCGATTCCACAGAGCATCCAGCACTATCACCACCATTCGATTGCAAAGGTCCTTCATGCTTCGTCATCGATCCAAACTCCAGCTTGATTAAATTTTCTCGACGCTTTCGTTGAACGCTAGTCAAGCAATTTTGCTGTTTATAGCTCTGATTTGTTATACAATTATCATATGCTTGTGTTGTCGATGTCACAAACTAGATTAAAAGAGAAAGAGATGAAACAAAAAAATAAATTTTTTATTTAGCGTAACGATGACAAAGAAAAAAGGACGTTACAGTAGAATGAAAACATAAAAGGAAGACGAAATAAGAAAGAAAGTTTTTCTTAGTCCAACAATATCAATTTCACTAAAATCTACTTTTCTCTCCTGTGTACTTTTCTATGCTCAGATTTTTACGTGTGTCTGGTTCTATCTTCCTTTGGAATTAATAACATAACAGGCATACAATAACCTCAGAAGAGAGAAGAAGCGACTGGAAAGGCAGAAAAAGTTTTTTTATTTCTCCAAACATTTTGTCAAGAGTTGTGTGGTGAATAAGACCATTCGGATGGCTGATTTTGAATTTTTGTGGCTATGAGATCATCTTGAAACTTAACATTAGATGAAGAAAAATCAATTTGAAATTAATGTTGTTTTTCAGCCTGTTTGAGTTTCATTTTGATTGAGCCAGTTTAGGATAAGCTAAGCGACTCTAGTTCAGGTTTAGCTGAGGGAGACTAATTCAGGCATGTAGTCCGAATGTAGCGAATTTTTCATAAAGCTCGAAATTTGCTGAAGTCGCCGTGACCTCGTTCTGACGCACGGTTTTCGTCTCGATTGTGCTATTCGAGTAACTTACAGAATAAAATTTTCTAGATCAAATGCGCTGCATCCACAATCGCATCATTATTATTTCAAGTCAAGAAGAATTATATGTTTTGCCGGTTAGATTGAGAAGAAACAAAAAATAAGAAAAAGCGCCCTCAGCCGTCCATTTAATAACAGTAAACACGTCTATAGTCATGCGAAAGGAGATTGTTGTAATATTTTTTAATTGAATTTTTTTCTTCGTTTTTTTATCCGTGCTACTTTCACGTCAATAAAAACGAAAGAAGAAATTAAGTTTTATCTATGGGACATTTCTATTTATTGTAAGGTAGCTGGGACAGAAAGACAATGAAGATTATCATCAATGTGCAATAAGGTTAAGGAATTGATCCGATTTAGATATATGAGTGCCGTCTGTTCCAAAAGAATTTCAAAATTCAATGAACCGTGAAAATTTAAGAAGCTGAGAAAATTTTTGGGATGCTTGAGATTTTTTCTATCAAATCATTAAGAATTGGATTCGGCTATAATTCCCATTTTTGGGGTGAGTAAATTCATGTTTGAGGCTATAAGAAAATTTCAGAAATAGTTTCCGAAATACTTTCCGAAATCTTTTTTGCTTGATTCTATTAGCAATGATAAAAGAGTCATCAAGTATGAATCAGAAAATTAATCAAACAAAAAAACTTTTTCCTTCTCATCTCATTCAAATTAAGCTTTAAAAACTTTTTTATATATAAATTAAACTTTTCAAAATAATTATTCTAAAATTCAATGAGCAACTTTTTCTAGTTCTTCTTATTCTCCTTGGTTTTTGTGTGAATAAAAAAAAAGGAGAAATCTCAAATGAAAATGAGAAAGCACAGCAGCTAAGTAATAAAAATTAATAAGATGCTAACCTAGTTTTTAAACTTTAGTTTTTCTGCTTTAAAAAATTCTTTTTTTTCTAGGTTAGAAAATTTATTGACATTTTCATTGAATTTTAACCTTGATAATTGAAAACTTTATGTTGTATACCTTTTATATGCTGTTGTAGATGTAGAATGATATGAGCTTTTTAGTACAATACTGAATATTTTTTATATTGTGAATTATTGAATCGTTTCTAGTCGACTACTTGGAGAATCTACCTTAGAAACAAAGTGCTAGACTTTGGGGAATTAAGACCAACTTTCTGTGACTGTAAAAGGTGCTTAGAAAAGCCCTTGAAATCAGCTCTCTGAGTAGCCAGCTGGCCAGACAGACATTTTTCAGTAAAAGAGAAAACCAGTTTTAAATTAGGTCAAATTTAGACAAAAGTTCTAATTTGGAAAAAATGAAGATAAAAAATCAGGGCTCTAATCTGATAAGACAATTAGATAGGAACTACTTCTAGGTTAGTTAAACCATAATAATCCAGTGGAATAATTAGCAGAGAAGTTGGAGGTACCAATGACACTTTGATAAAACACTTTCCCCAATTCGCTATGATTCTTTGAATAAAATTAATCTTAAAGTAATTTTAATCAGTCTTAAAAAAGGCATCCACTTTAAAAACAGTCTTCCTTCCAAGAAACACATTCTCTTCCAAAATAAAAATTAGCTTGAATGAAAAAGTTTTAAAACTCACCCTTGACAAATTATCCTCAGTTAAGTTTAATGTTTCAATCAATAAGACATTATCATTATCGTTATTTCCATTCAAGTCCGCATTTTTATTGCTAAAATTATTATTTGTATTATTAACCGAGTGTTGTTGAGTATCGATAAAATTCTTAAAATATCCACAACTATTATTTTTAAATTTCAACAATGTCTCTAAACGATTTACGTCACGCGAATCGAAATTGTTTGTGCTTGTAATTTCCTTTTCATTAATTATTGATTTTAATGTTTTTAAGCATTCATCACCGGCAAAGTTATTATGATTTTCATTTTCACTAGTATAATAAATGGTTCCACCATGTGTCACTTGACGATTGTTATTTCCAGTGTTAATTACAAAACGTGAATCATTGATGTTACTGACGTTATTATTATTATTGTTGTTGTTGCCGTTTATGTGGCAATTATTCCGTTGAATAATGCCAACTGGCTGATGAAATCGCATCTCGATTTATCTGTAATTAGAGAAGGAGAGAAAAATAATTAAAAAATGAAACACTGTGTAAAATATGTTGAAAAAGTTGAAAATTATATCGTTAACGGTTTCTTAAAATTCAAACTTTTCAACGACTTGTTAAAATTCAAATTTTTAATTTTTCTAGTCGGTCAAAACATATAGCTACCCAGACGTTCCAATCAGATAAAATAAACTCTTTATTCTGCCAGAGGTGAACTCAAAAAAAAAATCATAAATTATCGATCGCTTATAATATTTATCAATCAAAAAAGATATTCCATCTCAAATGAAGGTACAGAATATCAATTATCGATTTTCAATTTCATAGGCGAGAGATGAAATGAATATTTTCCCCCATGCCATGCCTACTCCGTATTCAAAAAGAAAAGTGAAGAAGAAATGGACAAGACATAAGAAATGAACAAATTGAACTTGAGCTTATCAATAATTCACAACCAAATGAATGTAAATTTTCATTTATTTTCCTCTTCCATTCCACTTACTAGTCGAGTAAAAGGAAAAATGCCTTCCTACCACTATTTGGTGAAAAAGAGAACGCGAATGAATAAGAAAAGCAAGAAGATAAGAGAAAATTTTAGTCATCTTCTGGGAGCACATTCCTTCCTTTATGTTTATTCTTATTCGTATTTTTATTTTATTTCAGAAGTGTGAAGAAAAGTTGAGTTTATGAATTTTTCAAGAATTTTCCAATCTTCCTTTCTTTCTCATTTATGAATTCATCCTCGAATATCAAGTTAGCATGAATTTTGCGATGTTTAAGTTTCACATTGAGTTGATGGAATTTTTTATGTGTAAGCAAATTGTTGATTTTTATGGACTTTTAAAGTTTAAAATTCAGATGAATTTTCGTTGTGGAATAATTTTGGGTGGATATTAAGTTTGTAAATAAATGTTTTTTTATTTGAGAGTCTTAACAATGGATCATATCTTTGTGACTAGTTTTTTATTGCTTTCAAAATAATTAACATATTTTAAAATTCAAAAGTTATTAGTTTCATATCCTTTATTAGTATGGTTCAACTTTGTATAGTTTCACACCCCTTTTCGAGCCAGTTTTTTTATAGTTTCACACCCCTTTTGCACCAGTTTTTTTTATAGTTTCAATCCTCTTCATATTGTTTACCTACATCTGGATTCAGAAAAACAATTTCGAAAGCATTTCAACTGAGTTTTAAGCTTTTAGGGAAATTATTAGTAAGCAGTAAACTAAGTAATTAAGAAACATCATCGATATCTCTACCCTGCCTTTTCCCACATCCAGAATCATTGTATACCACCCCAAAAAAAAATCCAATTCACCTAATTCTATCCCCAAATTCATTTCAATACAGCATATAATCCACATCAGTATGTAAACATTCAAATTATAATACATCCAGCCTAAAGACACATATTTTCAAGATTTCATAAATTTCCCAACTTAATCTACCATCCCAAGCATTTTTTTTTCCTGATGTTTTGCATTTCATTTCCCCAATGATACGGAACAATATTTCTAATACATAAGTAAGCGAATGCAAAGAGGAAATCCATAAATATTGAGAATATTATGCAAATGGTATTGAATGTTTATTCTACAATGATCTATACGAGCGATTCAGTAGAAGTGTGGATACTGTCTTACATGCATACATCGAGGATGAAGAAGAATTTTATGTAAGTTTGCTTTAATTCTAATTCACATGATTATTCAACATCATAAAATAATCATACGAGTGTAGGATGTTCATGATTAAAATTCATTTTATGAACATTTCTATTTATCCTCATTTTTATGACTGGAGTGCTTGTAGGTCATGGCTACTTCCTACACTTGTTAGCTCTCTATGATTGAAATTTATAAATTCATATTTGAAATTTTATCGAAAAATACGTAATAAATTATTTTAAATTCATGTTGTATGCATAAACTGGATATGGCTAAAATATATTGGTTATTTCACAGTACTTGAGTACCTTTCATAACCCAAACAACCAAATTTTTCACATCCACATAATGTAAATGTTATTTTTATTCAAAATGAGCTTGATGGAGTTTTTAAGCATTAATACTAGCTTTAAATATTGAATTTTGAAAAGTTCTTTGTTTTTAAACGATTGAAAAAAGAATTTTTTACTTTAATTTAAGCTTTTAGCATGTCAAAAAATTGATATTTTTTTGCTAAATCTCAGCTTTTGTATCTGTAGGAACTTAATAAGTGTTTTATGGATTGATAAAACATTTTATTTTAAATAATAAAATATAATATTTATTGTGTCAAAAAATGTGTCAAAAAATGTCAAAAAATTGATATTTTTTTGCTAAATCTCAGCTTTTGTATCTGTAGGAACTTAATAAGTGTTTTATGGATTGATAAAACATTTTATTTTAAATAATAAAATATAATATTTATTGTACAAGACTGAAAATTTGTATCAAAGGGGTATGCAACTATATTTAAGAGGGGTGCAGCACCAAACTCTTAACCGTTAACAAAGGAACAAATTTTAAATTTTCAAACACTCCAAAACTTAATCCATCAAGTTCTAAGTTCCAATTTCGTACCAATACAATCCATCTTCAAAATTTCATCGAGAGTCTCTTAAGAACTCCAAAAACTGTTTGCATATCAAAAATCGTGAACATGAAGATTTTAATAAAAATCTTTATGCTTTACTGAATCCATCAAATCATGTAGCATTTCCCTTCCATATTTTATTATTGTTTCATTCATGAGAATAAAAATTTTAAATCTTGTTTCACATCTTTTTATGACTTTCAATTTGTTATTACCAAAAAACGGAATGAAAATCATTTTCTGCTGTTGCCTTTTTCCACATCTTCTTACCGACAGATTCTTACTGTCTGAGAGGAGACTCAAGGAATAAATCCTTGACTATATACAAAATGATGAGTAAAATTTTCATTGAAACGTGAGGTTATCTATTAATTTGCGAAAGGTTGGCTCCTTTCCTTTTTTGGGGTAGATCCTACAATGTCTTATTTATTTATGGTTGTTGCGTGTAATTTGAAAATTATATGCACACATACATATCTCTTTATGTCTTGCATTCAATGAGAGCATTATATTCTTATGGAACGTGTGCCAGTATCAGAAGCCATAAATTAGGACATGAAAAGAAAATTGTGTTCATGTTTGTTTAAAAAAATATAAGAACTAGAATCCAAAGATAGAAAGAAAAGAAACTAAAAAGACATGCTTGGCGTTTGTAAAAGGAAAATGAAGGAATTTATGGTACACAATTTACCAGCATGTGTGGATGTTTATGCAATACTGAGCACTTCATGTCAACTCAATGAACATACGCTTTTATTCCATTTTCTTCTTTCCTTCCTCTGTTGTCGTCATCATCATACAAATGTAGTCGTAATTTTATTACGGTTTTTTATTGAGACTTATAAGATTTTTTTTAGTAACTGGACAAAGGAGTTTAGCAGGAAAAGGAATGCTTTCGTCAAATTTACATCTGCTTCCTACACTTGCTTCTTGCTGAGATGGGATAAATGAGCTTGATAATAGCTTTATTTGAAATACATATGACCTATATACCTAAATCCAGTTAAATTGTTTTTATTGGGGCATATTTGAGTTCCTTTCTTAGGCAAGTGTTACCTTATGGATCGTACACAAATGATGTTTAACGTTAGACTTAATAGAATATCATGACTCAAGCTGAATTACTCAAAATCGATCCTATTGTGTCAATGACCTGTAGTTTAGTGCTTACAGTGCTGCCAGCATGCTTACATCCCTAACTGACGCCACATTCTTTTAAAAATGAGACAACTAAGGTCAAAAAGTACCCTTAATTCCTTTATTTCTTCTACTTCCATACACAATGACTGGTCAGCAATTCCCAAAGTATCACAATTCCTATCTTAATTTCCGCTTCCTCTATTCTGACAAGTGTCCTTACTGTAACTCCCATGAGAAAAGAGAGAGAAAAAGGTTCAATGTAATTTTTTTCAATTTTCATTGTCCTTACATTTCGGTCGAGTAACTATTTTAAGAATTTTATTGCCTCAATATGACACGACTGTTGTAAATTTAACGATAGCTTATTAAAGCTTGATAAATGATGATTTTTATGACCGGTGGAATAAGAAGGAGTCATCTGATGTAAACAAAAGTTTTAGTGTGTATAGAGATATTTTGGACTAAGGAGGGTTATTCATAAATGATGTCAACTATGAAAATACGTCTTAATCTCACAGAGGCTTATTCAATGATAAGTTTTGGAGATTAATGTGCTCTGAATAAATTTTTTTAACCTTAATTTCCAGTTGTTGAACAAGATTCCCACTGTTTCAAATCCCACTCATTCCTCCTCATAATGTTGAGTGGTGCCTGAACTGATTTAAATTTGGAGTATTGAACTATTCGGATTTCAGTTACTATGTCTGAGTAGGTACACAACAGAAAGGATTCATATGACCCTCTGAGGCTTATACCTCAATCAATGTTTGTCGGTGTGACATGACAATGAATTGTATAATGCTCACAACATTACCATACCGGATCTCATTTAAGATTGAACCCCAAGATAAACAAGAAAAAATCATAAAACTGTCGTCGAACACTTCAGCTAAAATTAATGAATGCTGACATGAGCCAATTCTGAACTTTTTTTTGGCACAGAATATTCTTTTTTGTCACTTTAATGATGTAGTAATTGACATTTTAATGAAGAGATTATGAAGGTGAACTAATTAATAAAAAAAGGATATGAGAAAAAAGAATTTGTTTGCAGAAAACGGGTAACTGCTGAGCAAACTCATCAATTTCGGCCAAAAAAAAAACTGTGTAACATGTATAATAAAAAGCAAATGGATATTTTTGATTAGACTGTCATAATGTGACATAATTATATTTACTTAAAATACCAAGGCTTAATGGATTTTGCACATACAAATATTTCCTCATTTTATTGCATGTATTAAGTTACAAATCGATAATGTGATGTAA